GAGAGAGAGAGAGAGAGAGAGAGGATCAGCCGGGCTAGGGGAAAAAGAAAACCCGGCCCCGTGTCGATTCTCAAATTTTAATTTTAATTTTAATTTTTGACATGTAAACACGATACGAAGCAGTTAGCAAGAAACCAGCATAACCGCCCTAGTAGCACCACCATTAAAACAACGACTGTATTATGTATAAGTTTATAGCTTAGTTAAGCTGACGTGTCTGTGTGCATGCATTGTATGGCGTGAAAGGAGCAAGGTTTCCCTTTTTGTCGGAGAGGTGGGCCCATTACAATCTACTATGGAAAATAAAAAAAGAATGAGAAAAGCTGAAGTATGTATACATTTGCATGCTCACACGGTAGCTCCTCTTTTCGGACTGATTCTGGACACGATTCCGATCGGGTACATCCAGAGCTGGTCGTAATGTGGTCCAAGTTCCGTCGAACACACCCTAGAAAGTACCACCGTCTTCACCCCAATAGAACGCCCAGTGATTATCTCTGTATACAGACGGAAAGTTGCCCCAAATCCGGGTGAAGACGGGACTGTGAATATGATCTCATCGACGCGACTCATGGGCTCAACCATACACACACATAAATATCAGATACATTGAATAATCCTTATTGCAGTCATTCATGAATAGTAGATACATTGAATAATCCTTATTGCAGTCACACATAAATATTAGATACATTGAATAATCCTTATTTGCAGTCACACATAAATATTAGATACATTGAATAATCCTTATTGCAGTCATTCCACAGCTCCCAGCCAGTCAGTGCGCTGAAGAGTGCGGGCTATCATCTCGGCCAATTCCCTGCGCGGAGGGAATTTGCACTTCTGCGCCCAGGAAATGACCTTGTCCCCAGATCAGGTCTATGAACATCGCAGCTCAGAGTCTGAGCCTGATGGTCAATGATCTTCCCAACCTGGGCGCGAGGTCCCACTACCTTCTTCACCCGAATAAAACGTACGGTCATTTTAGCTGAATTTGGGCCACGTTTTAGTCTAGATACGGCTATAATTACCGTACGTTTTATTGGGGTGAAGATGGTAGCTGAGATGATTGGATCTAATGCCTGGCGTCAGCCTCTCCCCCCCCCCCCTTCTGGGTGACAACCTTCCTGGCGTGAATCTTCAAATGAACGTCGCACAATGGTCAATGCTCTTCGCAAAGAGAATTGGAGTGAGCACATGAATCTAGACGTGTACCTCGAAAGACGCAGAAAATCGAGTTTCAACTGCTTTTCTGCATCTCTTCTCAAACCAAGTCCGGATTCAGGAGCTTAATTCAATCCTCTTTGTTAGTGGGACCTCGTCCCAGGTGACAACCTTCCTAGCGTTAATCTTTAAAATGTTCGTTTGAACAGAGTAAAAGAGATGATGAGGCCCATTTTTTTTCGCTAGTGTAATAAGACAGCAAAAGGTATCATTGGAGGATGAAGCCAGGCTATGGCTGGGTGGGTGGCAACTGTTGCTCTGACTGTTGTCCTGATGATGTGCATCTGTTTTCTGTTTTGTATCCATGGCAGTTACTGGAGTTGAACATCACTGCGCAATTGCGAGAGCTGTGCTCTACTGAGGGGGAGGAGGAAAGACCAATCACGTTAGTTTTGCAGCGGTTCCATCGCCCCATGCAGGAGCATCTCAACCTCTACATCTCGGGCAAGTGAGTGCTCTCTCTCTCTCTCTCTCTCTCTCTCTCTCTCTCTCTCTCTCTCTCTCTCTATCTCTCTCTCTCTCTCTCTCTCTCTCTCTCTCTCTCTCTCTCTCAAGGTCATCTTGAGTTCTTTTAGGAGTGTCAAGACCTCACTGCTGCATAGACAATACGCGCAGAAACATGTGCACATACACATCGGCACACAAACATACACATGCTTCCCTTTCTTTCTTTCGACTCTCCCCTATGTCTCTTCCTTTTCGTTCCCCTACTTCTTTCCCTCTGGCCCCCTTTATCCGCTATTTGGAAATCTCTGAGAGAGAAGACGGAAATTACACAAGTCCAAGTGCACCTATCATAGAGGGGTGTGCCGGAACTTACTGGTCCTCTCGAGGATAAGTGAACTTGCTGCTCTTCCCCAGGATAAGTTTTTTTTTTTTTTTTTTTTTTTTTTTTTTTAATAAAGACAACCCCTTTATAATCTGGGGGGTTTAAGAGTCCGGTTGCTTATCACCGGCAAGCATAAACAAGACAATGAGGTAATCTGAGACAGAGGCATCATAATGAGCCAGAAACTGCTTTCCGAGCAGCAGGAGACTACCTGAAGTACCCAGTCCCACTCAGCACTTACTTGCTCAAAACAAAGCATAAACCTGACTACCTCCAGTCTTGAAAGTGAGATTCAGAAAGGCATGCTAAAAGCTAAGTATGAATAACAAAGTATTAAAAACTGAGTATGAAAAAGCTTGGAAATTCCACAATAGAATTGAAAATGCCGCATAGCACCTCTCTGTTTTCCTCACTCTGGTGGTGCTTATGTTCTCTGTCTCTGCCCACCTGTCTGCCCACATGCCTGCCCTTCAGTCTGCCCATCCGCTCGCCCGCCAGTTCATTCCTCTCGCTCGATGCCGTAGCGTTGTCATAATTGATGGACGTCATACTCAAGGAACGGCGCTGTGGCTGAGTGTGACCTGATGACTGCAACGTCACCTCATTGATGCATTCACCGTAGTCATTGTGCGATTGTGCCATTAGTGAGGTACCATAATCGCCTGTCGTATTGGGAAGGGGGGTGGAGAACGAGTTTTTTTTAATCATCCAGTCAAGCACTGTCCTTTTCCTTTTAATAAAAAAGAGGAAAGAAATCATCCCCGACCTTTGACCTTCTGGGCATGTTGAGCTGTCGACCTTCCAATTTACATCATCACTTTTCTTCTGTCGTGTAAATGCCACCTAGGATTGGCTAGTATGCATTTATATTATCGAACGCTAGAAATTTAGAAACCAAGGAAAATACACAATCTGTATGTTCCGATAGATGTCACTCTTCTCCTCCCTCTGCCTTTCTTTTTGCTTCCCTCACTACCTCTGCCTTCCTTTTTCTCTCTCCCCCTCTCTCCCTCTCTCCCTCTTTCCCTCTTTCCCTCTTTCCCTCTCTCCCTCTCGCCGGATCTCCCGCTCTCCCGCTCTCCCTCTCTCCCTCTCTCCTTCTCTCCCTCTCTCCTTCTCTCCCTCTCTCCCTCTCTCTCCTTCTCCCGTCCCAGTGTGGCTGATCATGCAAAACAACTCTCCTCTCGCCTCCCCTCCCTCTGTCCTGCTTCCCTTCGCTGTCAAGTGTCTAATGATATGGATTTTGTCCTTCTTTGTGTTTGCATCTTGTTGCAGGCTGTCAGATGATGAGCTGAGAGCAGCAGTCATGCATTGGCCTGCTGGACGGTGGGAAGAGTGTCTGCCTCTTCTCCACTATGCCAGAGAAAATGGTATCCGCCTTGTTGCAGGAGGAGTTCCTGATATGGTAAGGAGGGAGGGAGTGTGTGTGTGTGTGTGTGTGTGTGTGTGTGTGTGTGTGTGTGTGTGTGTGTGTGTGTGTGTGTGTGTG